GCTCTCAGTTTAAGAACAAATACATGGTTAACTTTTATCAGATGCTGAGAAAGAAGGTGAATCTTACATGGCATTTTTTTGCTACTTCACATGGAAAAGGAGTTGTTGGTGACATTGGTTGGACAGGAAAGAGGGTTGTGTGGAGAGCAATGTCCTCTAGGAGGGTGCCAGCTTTTGCTGATGCATTAGCTTTTGTTAAGGTTTCCACTAAATTACGTAAAACTGGTAATGTCAGTCTCAACAGTTCCGAGGAGCTTTTGTCTTTGAGCTTAGCACTTGCTTTCAAGAAGCAGCTGCTATCACTGCACTGATCCACAAGAGAGTGGAGATTTGAGTCAGATTTGATGGCATTACTGATTGGGAGGATGAAGAGAGTGCACGTGTCAACAATGTAAGGACTGGTCAGGGCATCTATACCTCTGGCACCACAATAAAAGTACAGCATTACCTACCACAAGATTTTCAACTCCTCTTTCAGCAAAAACAAATTCTATACCTTTCTTTTCTCTTACTCTTATCAATTAATTGAAATTTAGCTTCAATTTATGCATGTACTTTTTAACATTAAATTAAATTAATGCAAAACAATGACCAGTTAGGTCAGCCTATATCTCTAAGTATTTGCTCCCATAAATACATCATGTTGTGGGCTCATTTTCTTGTTTTCATTTCTATCCATCTTTTTTCTAACTTCTATGCATAAACATATATATATATATATATACATATATATATATATATATATATCTATGCATAAACATATATATATATATCTATATATATACATATATATATATACATTGATGAATAAGACCACATGCTTAATTATACCTAAAGTTTTACGTAATACCTACATACTTAATGTAGTAAGTTTAGTAAGACACAGCTACCAGGAAAATAGGAGAGAAATACATTTTATTCAAACGATTTGTATCCTCTCATGTATGGCAATTATCAATTTCCTACAGATACATATGTACTGGAGCAATCACCAGGATATCACCTCCAACCTAACACAAACATACCTATTACAGAAAGGGAAGCACTTCAATTAAGCTGATGATATCAGTGCTCCTCCTGGGAAGTACAATAGCTTCAATAATGTCTTTCCCTGATGGCAAATTTTCAAAGTTACAAGAGACCTTACCAAGAAGCTTCTATTGATAGGACCATGGTCCCCACAAAGGGTACATGTCCTTCAAACAATGCCAAGGAGCAAAGTACTCACCTGTTTGTTAAGCTGGTGAGGAAAAAATTGCTTGCTGGTTGTACCAACAGGCCCAACTGAAAGAGTTACTCCAAGGGAAACACAGTTTACAAATGTTCTGCTGGTGGAGCAATGAATACCTTGTTACCTGCACTAAAATGACTACTAGAAATTAATGGGTGAAGTCAACTTAGCAGATTAAATTCAGCAGACCTTTCACAAAGTAATATTGGAGTCAAAAGGATGTCTACTTTATGACTGCACAATATTGAAAAAAGTTGGGCAAACATATCAGAACATTCCTCCATCTGGAGTTCCTGTATTCTCCTTTGCAGCAGTTGTTTGGTCCCCTCACACATTGAACTTTTTCCCCCACCACCTGCCTCAATCAGAACCACATTCTTTTCCCTACCTGTAGCCACTCGGATAGTTGCTCACATTTTTCTGAGCAAGTCGCTCTAACTACTTTTCCAATCACAACAACTAACCAGTTAAGTGTTACAAATGCAAGTCCATATGCTTTGCCAACATTCATAAACAGGAGTGAACTTAATTTATTATTATATAGTATTTTATTGCAAGTTATATTCCAATGTTATCACCATATTTGTTATCCTCTTTACATTTTGTCTCCTTTAGATTATTACGACTAGAAATTGAATAGTTTTCCTTCTGAAATTATTTGTTACTACTGATTTGGTTTGATTAATTTAGACCAAAAAACTTGTTATCCATCTCATTGATGATTTTCAAGAAATAAATGTGCTTACTAAACCAACTAATAAAGCCAGTTCAGCAATCCGTAAGGCTACAAGTCTACTAGATATTTAGCCAGCCATAGCAGTTACCCAGCCAGTTGATGGAGAAATGATCCTTTTCCATCAAGAGTAAACGCGTTAGGTGATTCCTTCCTCACGAACTTAACCATATTAATTCAAGTTCAATACTTAGCCTTTACATTGTTGAAAACAAATGTTTAGTAATACCTAATAAGTCGATCAATAATAATTTCTTCAACAAGTGGAAGGAAAAGTGTTCTCACAATAAAATTCGTCCTTCTTAGCATCATTTCATCACTAATAAAGGATTGTTCTTTATCATACAGTATGAAGAAAAAAAACATACTTTGAATGAAACAAATAAAGGTTTATAACATGAACTTGGCGGCCTGCATGGTCTATAATGATTAAAGTTTGCGGAACCATCGCTGTTACATTATCATTTGGTGACATTGCCAAAAATACCGAAAATGCAAAAATTAAAACCCATGTGGAGATTAACTATATTAATTTTATAGGCTGGAAAAAACATCATTTCATGAAAGAGTTAGTCCATGAATTTGAGGCCTCAGTTTCTTTAAGTTGCAAAAAGTTTTCTATTTCTGGTGTGTTAAAAAATTTAACCTACGCTGCCTTTCACCTTTTCTCTGGTCTCTCGCAAACCAGCAGTCAAAAGAAGGAACAGGATTAAATTCCTCTAGACTTGGACCCCGAGCTGAAATCTTGATTAACCCCTCCAGTGATTTCTTTAAGGAGGCTCTAAGGCTACTCTTGAGTCTGTTTTGGGAGGGGACCATTCTTTCACACCCAGCAGCTGATACAGGGAGGACAAGCAAGATTTCAATCAGGTGGAGGATGTCTTTGAGATCTGACTTGTGCAGGTCTTAGACCAAAAACACCTTCCCCTGGCTGCTGTAATCTCTGTCGCAAAAGTGGGAGTTAAACATGATTTTCATAGTCCGTCACTCTGGGAGAATATCATCAACCTAATATCCAGCCCTTTGCACAGGTGGTTTGAACAAGCAGAAGAGCTTGAGGAGTCCGTCAATGGGCCAGAACATTCTTTGAGCCCATCCAAGCAGAGTTCAATGGCCTTCTTTAGCTCTAATTGAAATTTGGGCCTGACTCAATGTGCTTTTCTCTACCCTCCAGATTTCCTTCCCACTCTATGCCCTGGAGGACACCGAGGTCTTTTTTACCTCAGTTGTTTGGGACCTTGGGAAACATCTCCAAGTAACCTTTGGGAGCATAGCGACTTTTCAGGTAAGAAATGGATGCAACAATTTCTTTAAGCTGAGAAACAGCAACAAGGAGATTGAGGTCATTGCTCTGTGTCTTAAGACTCAACTTTCCAAGAATAGAGAACATATCTGCCAAAAAGTGGCAAAAAACTGCAAACTGAACAACTCTCATCCTCTTTTACAATACAATACAATACAATTTATCTGATCTTTGATCCCAGCGCTGCTTGAGGAAGTACTCAAGTGTTCCATATGACAAAGTACAAGTGAATACTGAGCAAATGGTTCTTCTGACATTTAAGCATCACTCAACTTGATTAATATACTTTAAATGCTCGGCTGATATGTGGCAATCATCACGTCCCAGATACTTGAGTCGGTTTAAGTGCATCCACGTTTAGTTCTCTTGCAAGAGCCTTCAAATCACGTGAACTTTTGGAGCTGTAGTGATAAGTCTTTCACACAAGGTTAAGCATGTCATAGACTTCTTCAACTGACTGGCAACTCTTTTGCATTTCAAAGAGAGTAAGTTCAAGTCTGTGAGGTGGAAGTCAACAAGATATGGAAAATCCTTTCTCATCAACACCGCTACTCTCCCTTCTTTCCAAGGTTAACAACTCTTCTATTCCACTCAGTGATATCATCACAGGAGTTCACAATTGCTTCCTTAATTCCCACAAGAATCGTTGCAAAAAGAAACAGAGGTTGTCTAAAAACAATATGATAAAGGCTGCACTCAGTGGCTAATGACCATTTCTAAGGCTCAGAAATGGCACGCTTTCAACCATGGTTTTGCATGTAAGACAAAAAAGCCGTCAGACAAAGAAAGAAACAGGTTCTGCAAAGCTTTTCTTGTTTGCCTTTGTGTTGTTTATTATGACTTCTTTTTATCTCTGCAATGACAGTAGCCCCTCAAATTTTAAAAGTAGCTCTTCTTTGGGAATAAAGTAAGCAACGTTGATTTTGGCTTCTGTAGCGTCCACTCATAGCTACTTGAAACTGTACTTTAATCAGTTGTTCACTTGCTAGTTCGTTTCTAATCTGCACATAACTTGTATTCATTCCATTCACAAATTGCACGTGAAAGAGAAAGATTCGCTGAAATAACAACAACGCGACTATTACAAAGATGATATTGACCGAATAACCGAAATACTGCATACTTACAAGTTATTGTGCCTTCTAAATAGAAAGGAAAACTTGTCCTAACGAAACGACAGTATAACTCCATAACAAAACATGTGCTTTTCGTGGGAAAGAGCGCCCGCGATATTTTGCGTGCGGTCACCGAAGACCACACCATATAACGTTTATTTTCTGTCTCTTACACACTCCCCCCCGAAAGACGACTGGGGAGTCTTTCTACTTTAGCACAAACTAGTACTGAGCGTACAAAAAACTAGTCGAAACTATCCGATCAGTACAAAGTTCCTCGAAAGTTCCTTCAGTTATCTTAACCTTTCGGAACAGTTCAGACACTTCTCAGTGCCCTTCCTACACACATGAACTGGTAGCTTCAAAGAGGTTTTGGCCGCTGTTCCAAGCCACCTAGTAACTACTCTTCCAATAGACAGAGCTTCCGGACATCTCTGCGGTATACTCCGTCCGCTGTTTTGACAACAACTTGGCGCACCATGCCTTCGCTATCAGGATAGGTTTGCTCGACCAAACCC